ATTATACGCAAGGCTCAACAAATGATGCATCAATGGGAAGTTCAAGCTGATATAAGTCAAGGACTTGAACAATTTTATGGTACTTCAATGGCAAATCAACGATTCTGGCCTGTCACATCTGGAGGATTGTATCCGAATTTGGTATCATATTTAGATTTGGTTATGTCAAAGTGTCGGAATGGATCTTCAACAAATCTGGATCAAGGATTAATTAACACATTGAAGAGTTTAAACAGTTTTAAAGGAAGAATTTGTGCTCAAAGGCAACAAGTTGAAACGAATAGATCTGTTAATTTACAACAGATCCTTACAATGGCTAATCAAGAACGAATTCAAGAAGCAATTTCATCTCAAGAGAGTTGTACTATTTGCGCAGAAATAATACTTGCATTTAGTCAAAATAAGGATCTTGTAATAATGAACAATTGTCCTCATATATTTCATAAATCATGTATTGAGACATGGCTTAGTATGCCTTCTTCACAAATGGTTTGTCCAAATTGTAAAACTCCATGTCACGATCCTATGGCACCTCCACCTATTGGACCTATGCCTGATGGAGACATGGCATATATCTTTAGTGAAAAATTAGGTGCTTGGTTTATATGTTATTGGATTCCCAATGGTACCCAATTACCATGTCATCTATCTCCGGGACAACCTTTTAAAGGAACTACTAGAACAGCTGTATGCCCAATTTATTTTAAATGGGGTCCACTTTTATTTATTCGTCTTATTTCAGCATTTTATTATCATCACACATTTACAGTTGGTACATCACTTACAACAAATATGTCAGATACCACCACTTGGAATGGTATTCATCATAAGACTTCGCTTGATGGAGGTTTCGGTTTCCCTGATAAAACTTACGAAGAACGTGTTTCTTTAGAGTTAGATGCAAAAGGGGTACTATTATTTCTTAGGGATTTGGTTTCTGATTAAAATATACCAAACTTTTTAAATAATTTAGACTATTCATTTTTACTTTTTTTCACAATTTTATATATTTGGACAATGTTTTGCATTATTTTAGTTATAAAATTTTATTTTGTATTATAGATTTCGAAATTAGTATTAAACCATTAAAAAAAAGAGAAAAAAATGAAAAAAAATTTTGTTGTTTTGTAGTTAGTAAATGTAACGCTCTCAATAAATAATTTCTTTTGATTTAATCACAAATGTTCGTAAATTTTTAATACTTGGGAATGATAATTATTCTGGGTGCCTATTTACAAAAATTGCGATTAATTAAGCATTTCCGTTTGTTTTTGCAAATAAATCTTCGATTCGGAGCTGAATTTCTTGTTTTTGGTTCAAAAGGGTTGCATATCGTTCCTGAAGTTCATGTTCGCGTCGAACGAGGTGATCAACTTCGTTTTGAAGAGTCTGATCAAAATATGATAGAAGATTGTTAATTAATAATTGATAATTTTTCATATGAAGTTAATTAATAATATATATGAAATAATATATACCTCAATACGTTTTGGAATCGCAACTTTTTCGGATAAATTTAATGATTGAAAAGAATCCAGTTCGATCTTTGCTTGTTCAACTTCTTCAAAGGATTCTAACGTTTTCTTCACAAGAGCACTCGAACGACTCTGATTATAATGAAATAGAAAAAAAAAATAACATTGATAAAAAAATAAAAAAATAAAAAAATAAAATTCAAATCAAATCTCGTACTACTTTATAACATACCAAATAACCACCCAACGTGATATTTAATTTCTTTTCTAATTTAGCTGCTCTGGATGCATCTTTTATCATTAGATTTCGGTTAATCTGTAGAGAAAATATAGTGCTCAATAAAGTTTCATGTATTAATAATATTATTAGAATTTTTTTTTTTTTTTTAAAAAAAAATTTACTTCGAGCTGATTCTGGCATTGTTTAATTCCAGTTAAATCTTCAAATTTGGGCCAATCCTCGGGTAAATCAGACTCATTAGCAGTAATTTTAATCTCAGCATTTATCGCTTCCCTTGCCTATAAAATAATGATATCATTAAATGATTTTATAAATATTCATAAATGTAATATTAAAAAATTTATAAATAAATAAAATAAATATAAATAATATATTTTACTTGATTCATTAATTCATCAGTAAACTCTTCAAATGATTCAATTGATTCCAAATTTTGAGAATTTAATTTACTTCCGTGAACTGGATAAACAATTGCATCATGTTTAAGTAATTTGATCATTTCTAAATCAATAATCTTTTCGATTTCACTCCCTTCATAAGTTAAATCGTCAATTGTTAATTCGTCTACATGAACTGGTCGAGGAAGATCACGTTTAACAACTTGTGATCTACGATTAAGACGTGCTCTTTCTGATTAAAAAAAATTAATGTTATATTAATTATTATTATTATTCATTTTTTTTATAATCCATTATTTTTTATAATAATTACCTTCAATTAATTGTTGTTCTTTTAATTTTTTATCTCTATCACTAGCATCTTCTTCTATCCCTTCCATACTATCTCTAAGTTCATCTTGAGCTTCAGCTTCGGGTAAAACAATTTCAAAATCATTTTTGGGAGCCGGAAGATTTGCCAATCCTGCTCGAAGCTGTTTAATAGTCGCTGAATCAACTATATATATATATATATCAAAAGAGTTGATTTATTTTTAAATTTAAAATCCAAAATATAAAACAAAAACAAAAGGATATTATTATAAACAGACCAGTAGTAGGTGTTCTCAATGAACGGACTGATAAAGGTGTTCTTGGAGTTTGCAAAGATCCACCAATCAATCTAGGTGTTCTTAAAGGTAGACCTGTACTGGATGGTGTATAATCGCTTAACGAAGAAACATTATCCGTTTCGCCCACTACGGCTTTAGTATTTTCTCCAGCAAATCCAATTTTTACAATCTAAAGATTATCGAATATAATATGATTATTCAATTAAAATAAATAAATATAATAATTTATAATTTACAATAATTTCATTTGTAAACCTACAAACCTCTTCGAGTTCATTCTCTCCAACTTGTGGGGCTGGAAGAAGTAGTTTTCTTCTTTTGCTGATTTGTTCCGCCTGTTTTAATTTGTTTAATTGAGAAGCTCTGGCAGGAACAAAACCGACACCACCTTCTGAATCGGTTTTTTGTTTTTTCTTTCTCTTTTCTTCATTAATTTCAGATCTTCGTTTACCCTCGAGTTTGTGAAGATGAACATTGGTAAAACCTGGTTCTATTTGTCTATTTTTTTCTTCTGTAGTATCATAGAATCCCAGAGCTGGTTTTTTCTCAAAAGGTATATCAGCATTGTAATCCATTCCTTTTTTCTTCTTTTTTCCTTTTAATCTATAAAAAAAAAAAATAATTAACATGTAAAATATGTCACCTTAGGAATATAAATAATTATAAAAATTCATCTTACTCAATCCCAGCTGCTTTCAGTTCACGTCGTTTTTTGTAATGAGGCCAATCGTCGAGCTTCTTCTAGTTGCTTTTCACGAGCCTTACGTTTGGCCTTTTTGCCTTGTGTGTTAGCCAAACGAGCACGAGCCTCTGATAACATTTCCTTTTCTGAATAACATGAAATTATTATTATTTATTTTTTTTTTTTTAATAAAAAATTTTATATAAAATATACTTTAAATAACTTTCTCATTATTAAATCAAAATATTACCATCTTCATCCATATCCACTGGGTCTGGCCTTGCGGGTTTGGTTTCTGGGTCAGGATCTATTTCTCCAGGTCTAAGTCTTCTCACATCATCAGCACTTGGACCAGCGTCACCACCTGTAGGTCCAGTCAAATCCAAATCCGCTCCTTCTTTGGCTTCTGCCTCGTCTAATAACTTTTGATATCTTTCGAGACATTGAGAAGGAGTTCGACCAACAATTGGAGCAATAGTTCTCCATTGAGTAGGCATTAATTTTGCAAGATGAAGTAATTTTTCATCTTCTTCTTTTGACCATTCAGTCTAAAATAAGAAGTTCAATTAATATTAAGAATCCAAAAAATAATCATTTATGTTATTCCTTGAAATTGTTACCTTTTTTATACTAGGATCTAACCATTCATACCATCGCGCTTTACATTGTTTAGGAGATTTTCGAACGAGCAAAGACGAAATACGTGCCCATTGATTCTTGCCGTATTTACTGACGGCAGCCTTTAAGATTTCGTCTAAATATTATCATATATTAAACATCCGAATTAATGTAACCGCCAAGAAAGAAAATGAATTCTTTAACCCTTATCGAAAATTTTACCTTCAGTGTTTTTCCAAATCCCTCCTTTAATTATAATTCTCATTATTTGTGATTTTTGTGAAAGAGTTCTTTTTTTGTTTTTGGTTGATATAAAATTTATTTGTTTTTGATGATGTTACACAGAACACGCAATACCCTAGTTATAAAAAGCCGTAATTGCTGACACATCTATTCTGAGAGGTTATATTCTTGTAATTTCACATTCCGACTTTTTCGAAATGAAGATCACAATAAAAACCTTGCAACAAAAACAATTTCAATTGGATGTCGAACCGGAGGATACGGTATTAAAAATTGCAATTTGTGATCAGTGTTCGTTAAAACTTTTTTTTTAACATTTATCGCGACTTTTTAAAAGGTCCTTACGGTAAAAGAAAAAATCGAAGAGACTCAGAAATATGCAGTTCCACTTCAAAAACTGATTTTTTCAGGTAAAATTTAAAGGATGTCCTTATGGTTTTAAAGATAATTAAAAAATTTTGAAATAACTTTAATTATGTATGAAATTTTGTTAAAAGGAAAAATTTTAGCTGATGACAAATGTTTATCTCATTATAATATTACGGAGAAAGATTTCCTGGTAGTCATGGTTTCGAAGGTAATTATTAAGATATTAATAAGATATTAATAAGATATTAATAAGATATGAAGACATATTTTCAGGATAAGTAATAATAAATATTTAATGAGGTAATAATGGATATATGTATATATGTGTGTATATAAATATTTTTAAATAGCCACCAGCAAGACAGCAAAATGCAGCTTCAACTTCGACCTCCACCCCACCTCCCACAACAACTGCGCCTTTACAAAATTCCCCACGTGCCCCAACTACAATTCCCCAATTACCTGCTGTTATACAAGCACCACCTTCAATAACTTCTACTACTACATCTGGTCAAGAATCAACAACTAGTAATCCTACAGCTACGACACAACCAATAACAAATGTTTTTGATAATGCTAGCATTTTAGGTTTATATACTTATATACTTTGAATTTTTAATATTTTTTATATTTCATAAAGATTTTATTATTAATTATTATTATTATTAATTATTATTAATTATTATTATTATTATTATTATTATTATTATTATTATTATTATTATTATTTATCAGTAACTGGAGCTGATTATGAAAATGCTATTCAAAGTATTATGGAATTGGGATATGATCGTGATCAAGTTGTGAAAGCTATGCGCGCTAGTTTCAATAATCCTGATAGAGCTGTTGAATATTTAATGACTGTAAGTCTATAAGAGTCAACTGAACTCATTGTTTATATGATATCTAATGATAATCCATCCATCCATCATTTATAAAAAATTATAGAGAAATTAATATAATGAATTTATTTTTTACAGGGATTTCCCGAGAGTACACAAGTTGAACAAACTACTGCATCCTCAGATCTAACGGGTAGTTTACCAGCATCTTCACCTGCAAATACCAGTTCACCCGCTCAAACAGGTTATAAATTTTTCTTTGATTTATTTCATTTATTTTTTATTAATCATTTTGTATAATTAATTAATGTAATTTTAATATTATTATTAAACATTTATTCATTATCATCATCATATTCATTTTCATCATCACATTCGTTATCATCATCATATTCAGCTATACCTCAGAATCTTTTTCAAGCCGCAGCTCTGGCACAACAGCAACAACAACAACAACAACAACAAGGAGGAGGAGGTCTCGAAGAATTGAATTTTTTAAGAAATCAACCTCAATTTCAACACTTGAGACAAATTGTTCAACAGAATCCGGCTTTATTACAACCATTGCTTCAACAAATTGGTCAATCTAATCCTCAATTACTACAGGTTGTTTTTTATATCATTATTATTATTACTTCAATTTCATAATTAAAAAAAAAAAAAGTTATACGTATTAATAATAAAAATTTTATTATACCATTACCAGCTCATTAATGCCAATCAACCAATGTTCATGCGTCTCTTGCAAGAAGGAATGGATGAATCAAGTGAAGGGGGCTTACCCCTGCCTCCAAATTTTATTAATACTAATTTTTCACGAGAAGAAAAAGAAGCGGTCGATAGGGTAAAAATTATTAATAAATATTGATTTATATTTTTGAAAATTATATATTTTAACTAAGATTTATATTTATATTTATATTTATACTTATATTTATATTATTATTATTATTATTATTATTATTATTATTATTTAGTTGGAAGCTCTCGGATTTGATCGGGTCCTTGCCATTGAAGCATATATTGCCTGCGATCGAAACGAAGAACTTGCAGCAAATTATCTATTCGAACATAATGATGAAGATGACAATTAAATTTAAATGAAATTATTATTTTTACAAGACTGATGGGATTTTGTACTATGTATGTGCGTGATAACATAAGTATTGTTCCTTTGACTTTTTAAAAATATTTTAAGCTGTCTAAATTTTATATTAGTAGATAATAACAAATTTTAATGCATTATTTGTATTAAATAATTAATCGATTGCGGCAAAAGATTTATTTAAATTTATTTTGTAAATTGGTTGTAAATTTGCAACGGTTTATAAAAAAAAAATTAATATCATAACATTATTATTTTTTGGAAAGTTAAAAGTTCATGTATTTATTTTTAATTAGCTTTCAAAAATAATTGATAAAATTATTTAAAGTTTATAAGATTTTCCTTTTGATCAATCAGTCAAACAATATTTGAGAAATTGTACATATATCATCATCATCATCATCATCATCATCATTTTTTTATTTTTTTATTTTTTTAAAAAAAATAATAAACCTGAATAAGAAAAATGAAACAAATAAACTATTTAATCATGTTAATATTTGTAATTGATAAATTACGAAATAATGATGATGCAATTAATTTGAATTCTTAAATTATAAATGTAATAAATATTTTTAAAATTCTAAAATTGAACATTAATGATTTGCGTAATAATAAATATTTAAAAAAAAAATCTAAATTATTCCTAATTTTACGCGAAACCAAAACCTCTTCCATTTTGTATTGCAACTAGAAGTCGATCCCGGAGTTTCGCTTTTGTATTGTAATCAGGAAGTAACAGAACACCGAAGCATGTTTGAGCAGTTGGTAATCTGTGTAATAATTAAATAATAATAATTAATTAATAATTAAAGAATTACGATTAAAGAGATGTAATAAAATGTTACCTGTCAGAATCGGGTCCATTTTTTTGAATGGTGAATGACATATCGCTGTATCCTCTAATTGGAACACGATCACTAGCAGTAACAAATGCTAATATTTGCTTTTTTTGTTGATGAGAAAAATTATGAACTACAGACCAAAAATTCCTGAAGATGAAAATCGAATTCAGTCAAAATTTAATTTATATTCAAAAAAAATAAAAAATAAAAAATAAAAAAATAAAAAATAAAATAAATTTACATACTTTATTGTATGGTGATTCCTATCAAAACCACCTTCATATCTTACAGTTTTTTCTAATTCTTTAAAGTCGAGAACTCTATTTCCACAAATAAGTAACTCCAATTCTTCAGCCCGACATAACTAAATGTGCATTAAAAATACGTTTGATTCAATATCTATCTCTCTTTTCAATATATATCTTCGAACATCTTATTTAAAAAATAATCAAACCTTTGGAACTATTCCATCACTCATCCTCAAAAATCCTCTTTTTAATGCATTAAATTGTTTCTCTATATACTTATTGGTAAAATGATTGATATAATTTTCTACATACTCTTTACGATTTTTGTTTGTCACTTTTATATGACTTCCCCCATCTATGAGTGGGAATACACGATCCTCACCGTACACATCATATGAAATTTCAAAATGACGAAGAAATACGTCATAAACGTCTCCATCCTCCCAGGTAAGCATTTTTTCTAAGCCTCTACTTAGATCCTATGTAAATTGTTAAATATACAAATGTACTTTAAAACTCTATAAAAAAAAAATGATTTCATTTGTCAAATAATTATTTTTTTTTTTTTACCGGAAATCCTTCTTTCATATCGTCCAGGTTAATAGAGTAATTCAATAACTTTTTATACAAAATTCTCGGTAAATTTATATCCACCAAAATTCCATTGAATAATGCCACCCCCAAAGTGATGCCGACAAGTTCAAATTTTCGTTCATTTTCCAATGATGCACCATTAATCCAATGATATCTTGTTTGTTCATCGTACAAAAACATACCAGCATCAGGATCTAAAAGTTTCTCCAAAAGAACTTGGAAAAATTCTCTTTGAATACCACCTTGGTCTTGAGCTTCTTCCTCTCCGCTAATGAATTTAACCCTCAGTGGTTTTTTTAGATCAAGTTGTTTTACAATCAATTGATCTAACGCATCCTTTACCAAATATTCACGGCGTACCTCAAAATAAAGTCCTGGTATGGTTCTTTCTTGAAGTGCACGAAAAACCTGATTATTATCAGTAAGATATCGTTGTGATTGTACATAAAATGTATGATGCACACATGAATCCTTTGTATAAATAAATAAATAAATAAATAGAAAGGAACGTAATTGTATTAATGTGAAAGAATATTAAAGAATAATTAGAGAATAATTCAAATTACCTCATAATTAAGTGCCATTTGACACAAAGCATCAATTCTGCTTAGATGAGATTTAACGACAGGATCAAACAATATTGGATAATTCAAAAACGAAAATGGTCGGTTAGGGGTTAATCGCAAGCTACTATTTTGTAAAAAACATCTCAATTAGTAAATATTCTGAATAAAAATTTTTGTAATAAATCCTTAAACAAAAATTTCTCTTATATAAATATCATACCTTTCCTCCAACGATTTACGCCAATTTTTATATTCTTCTTTGATATTCAATTTTTCACACATACATATGTTATAAAACAAAGTATAAGGAACAATCGTTCTTGGTTCAGCTTTTTCATTTGCTTCATCTATTTATTTCAATTCATTAAATTCATTTCATATTTTGATATATTAAAACAAAAACATTGATCATGAGAAAGAGAGAAAAAAAAGAAAGAATAAATAATATATCATACATAGCATAGCCAACGTTTTGACCGTTGCAACCACTTCTTGCGAGACTAAAGCAGGAGGAGGGTGATAATGATCATCAAGGTAACGATGAAGAATATGAATAATATTACTAAAACCTTCTACATCATATCTATTAATTTAAATAATAAATAAACATATATTAAAATTTTGACAAATAAACAAATAAACTAAAATCTAATAATAATAATAATAATAATCATTCAAACTTACTTCGAAAACAATCCAATTAATCTATTTTGAGCTTTTCCTCGTAAATCAGCTATATTTCCTAATATTCTCACTAATCTTTTAACAAGGGTCACAGAAAGATTAACGTTTCCACCAGACATTGCTAATAAAGGACATTCCATTATAATGAATAATTGTCTTAATGAACCTTCGTCTCTTTCTAATATATGAGGATCCATTTCAATTCTAGCCAATAGAACTTCAAGGGCATTTGATAAGGTTGATGCAAATAATTCATGAGGGCGAAGATCTAGAATTAATTTATATGATGTTCTTAAAGATCCGAAATCAATTTTTGATGGATGTGAATATTGTGTTGTGGTTTCCATGAAACTCTGATCCAAAGACTCACGAGATGAAAATACCGTTTTTATAGTGTTAAGTAAAAACTTGGGATTCCCACGAATAACACCGGATTGTCGTTGTTTCCCAAATGATTTTGATTTATCTCTTTTTCCTTCAATATAATCTTTAAAAATAAAATATCCTTGTTTCATAATTTTTGATTCATTATATTCAATTGAATCACTTTGATGATATGTACTTATAATAGCTTGACGAAGAAGTGGCAGTGTTAATATTTTTAAACTTAATTGGTTTAATAATTGTTCCTCGTTACCATCTAATAATGAAGTATTATTATTATCCTTACGATCTTAAATAATTAAAGGTCGAATTTTAGTGATTGATTGAATTTCCTTACTTTCAGAATTTAAAATTGATTATTAACCTGAGTGTGATAAAATTGGATCCTTTATTGATTGAGATGAATTTACATAATTTTCATTTTGCGATATAATTGGTCTTGATGCTGATGTGACTAGATGGTATTTAGAAAATCGAGTATAGACAAATATAAATATTAAAGGTTAATTTGAATCACATATAAATATACATAATAAAATGTTAGGTTCTTAACCTGATGCCTTAAATAAACCATTTAGAAAAGAATTCGATTCAAACTTTTTCATAACATTTTCATTATAATTATTATTATTATTATTATTATTATTATCATCATTATTATTATTATTATTAATCACGTTATCATTTACTAAATTTATTGCTTCTTCGAATGTATTTGATCCTTTTGTGAATGATCCTTGCATTGAAAAACTTGACTGCTTTCCTAATGAAATATTACGGTGATTACCTTTTCGAGTAACATTATTGTTAATGATATTTTGTTTAGTACGTATTATTGTGGATAAATCTATATCCTCTGTATCATTATGTGATAAATGATTTATTTTCGTACTGTCAATATTCTCTGTTGAACTTTCACATCCAATGCTATATGAAAATAGGCTTACAAAAGGTGATGTCGAAAAAAACGAATAAATAAAGGGCTTAAGAGAATGAACTAATCGCTGATCATCATCAATAACGTTATTTATATTTGACGTAAAATTTGATCGAGGGGGAGAGAAATCCGGATCAATCGGACAATGTGAACAAAAAAAATGCCGAGAACGAGATGCAAAATATACAGATAAAATAGCAGCAGTATCTGTTGATATTCGTGAAGAATCTATCATAATATTTTTTTTTAAAAAAAAAAAATTAATGTAAATAAATAACACAACAAATGGGAACGATAATTTGATAAAAAAATATAAAATTATATATATATATATATATATATTAACTAATTTGTACTTTTGCAGGAACGACAAACTTTGATTTTGCAATCGTTGCGACCGCAGCCTATTGTGAATTGATAATAATATCTACAAACCATAAGCAAATTTACGAGTTAATTAAACAGAAGCTTACTGGTCTGCAATTAGTAATGTCAAACTTTACCTTCGTACAACCTTTTCAAACATAATTTTCGATTCATTCTTGTCTCGATTTGCGTCCCACTGTTGAGGTTGAACCTTAATTAAAGAGTCGCGCGATTTCGCCAAGGCCATTCTTAAGGACTGCAATTTCGACGGCTTTTGAGGAATATTTTGCTCTACAAGATCAGACTCGACTTTCTCGTGAGGAGTCGAAGTTGAGTAAAGCTTGCTTGAGGTAGTATTATTTTCCATCGAATTAGTCTGTGCTTCGTAATCGCGAAATTAAAAAGAAATATGTAAATCTGAAATGTGAGGCCTGATATACATTCGAGATTCCTCATGTGATCATTACGAAAAGATCTAAATTAAGATTAACGTAAAAGTAATAAGTTTCTGAAACGAAAGATAGATATAAATATATATTTGATTCACCTCGAAGAATTTAACAGTAAAATACTTTGTTTAGAATAATTTAAGATAAAGATAATTCAATACTTTCAAAATTTTTATTTTATTCATTAAGAAAATATTGAAAACATTACAAAATATAAAATACTTATTGAACAAAGAAAACGCGCTTCTCAAAATCATTTATAGTTCAAATATCTTCACAACAAAATATTGCGAAATATTCTGTTTTAAAAAGTTTCCTGATAATAAATTGGTTCTTGATTTTAAGTCATTCCCTAATTGTCAAGTCGTTCTCTAATTTTTTTTTTAAAAATTTTGATGCAAACTAGGCTATTTGTTTTTGATATTAACTTTATCATTCTTTGATCTTTTGAGGAGAATAGTGAAATCTGGAATTACAATAAAAGGAAGTATTTCTGGTACTTAGAATTTTGTATGCTGTTGTTCTAGTAAAGCTTTAACTGTAGATAGAGGGGTTTTTTTTAAAAACGACGATACGAAATTCCAATATAAAAAAACCTGTATCATTTCGGTATATTGTTTTGGCATCGGAAACAGTTGTAATGGTTACATAGTTAGTTATTCTTATTTTTACCATACATTTAATAATTGTTTTGGCATTGATCATTAAATTTTGACCATACAATTATTCTTCTTTCATACTCGAGATATTATGTGGATTGATTGATTGCTTGATCTTACTAGCAGATAGATGTTGGATATGTTATCCTGGCAGAAGTTCTGTGACACAGTGACAATATCAGCAAAGAGAGTGAGTTAAAGTGAACCATTCTCTTTCTAGGATTAGTTTTAATAGTTCTAGTAAATTAAAAAAAGCTCTTTTGCATAAGTAATATATTTTACAACAGACAAAACTTTTATTAATAAACATTTTTGTGTTTTTGCCAAACAAAAGGGTAAACAAGTTATATAAATTAAAGTAAGACAATATATTTTATACAAAATTTTCAATACAATGGCCTAAAATTACGGTAATTGCCGAGTATTCTTTTTTTCATGTAACTGACATACATATTTAACACAATCGAATCATATTTTTATAAAATTGCACCTTTGTTCTTAACTCTCCACCTATCCATTATCCATCTTTAAATATCAATTCAAAATTGAATTTTATTACTATTCAACGATAATCGGCGTTATATCATTATTTTGCCTTGAATAGAATGACAAAAGATTATGAGATAAATCCGTACATTAATGTTCCGATAAGTTGGAAATTTAGAATTTCGCACATAATTTTATGGTTTTCTCCAGCAATTGGGGTTCTATTCACAGCTATATTAGTAGAGAGCGCAATAAAACTTCCTGCCAAAAATTTGGAGTTTCAGCAAGTCTTAGTATTGTACAGGCCATCAATGCAATTATTATTGCTATAACAATTGCTATCTTTTGGATTGCAATACAAGCACAGGCATCGCAGGTTCAAAGCAGGCTAGTAAGTATTGGTGGTGGAATCCCGTTAAAGGATTTGGCATCATGGATTAGCATAAACTCTCCTCTCGGTTTATTTAAGGCATACAAGTCTGGATCATTGAGGTTGTGGATCGTTCTTGCGGGGTTGGTTGCAACTACACTTAATGCTGGTTCTCGCCAAACCTACACTGTGGGTAACGTTTCATCAGGATTTCATACTGTTGTAACTAATACCGTACCAGAACAAAATCTTCAAGGAATGGTATGTGGTGCTAATTGCATTAGCGTTTCGCCGTATATACTTAGTAGTCGTTTTGATAGTCTAGCTTCGAGTAATAATATCACCACTGACCCTTATAATGCATCAGATGGGTTCACTATATATTTGCCGCCACCTTCTTTTTATGGAACAGGAACTACTATTATCAATAGACGTGGTGTTATTGGCGATAAGATAGAATGCTGGCAACAGTCTGAATTACCAAGCACAATCTATGTTTCCGAATCTATGCTTAAGGACAGATATTTCCACGAAACAGGCAGTCAAACTTTTGTTATTGCGATAGATGTGTCATCGAATTATACTGGTGGAATAACCTGGACGGCAGTGCTTTATCTAAATAAGAACAGTACTAAACCTGAGGAAAGTGTAGACGGATATTATACTGTATGTAATGCCACTTCAAAGATATATGACATAACTGCTCGCGCATCGTTTAACAATAAGTGGGAAAAATCAAGTATAATCATGAATTTAGACTCGCGGCTCGTGTTTACTGAAGGTAACTATCTCTCAGATGGTAGCATTAATCCATATACTCCATCAGATTGTACAAATTGTGATTTTGTTGGAAATGAGAACGGTAATATAACAATGGCTCTGGTTTTCGGTAGTAAAATAGAAGCACTGCTCTCATTTCCGTTAGATTATGCAAATATTGGGTTTGACGGAAAAGGGTATCCTTTACCATCTCATACCTGGCTTGGTTACAATTATTCAAGATTTTTCCAAAGTCCTGATGATGTTTCACGAGCAATCGACAGTTTGAAAAATAGATTTATAGTTGCACTAAGCGAGGTTAATAAAGTATCAGATGGTATGAATATAGGACTGCAAATCGAGGGGACTTACTCCTGTGTTGTTAATCGATGGCCTGTAATTTATTTGCTCTTGGCATTGTCTGGATTAATTGGATTGATTGGATGTTATTATACTATTAGCATGAAATCGAAGTTGATTGATATTGGACCAAAGAGTTTGTTAGCTCTAGGAACAACTTATGAAACACAACAGATATTACGTAGTACTAGTGTACTCGGAGAGGAAAATATTGCTGCTTTTAATAGTGATAAGGTATGTCTTATAGACATTGAACACCAGAATGTTAACTGGTCAACTCTTAGCTTTACTGATGTGGAGAAGGCGAAGGTGAGAGTGAAGAAGAGCTCCTAATGGATCAACCCACGGGCCAAAATCATATAATTCGTGTTAATTTTTTAATTATCTGCGGATCAATTTCGTAGTCTAGCTACAGTATTATTAAAAAAAAACATAGTTCAATTTATGTATAACAAAAAATTTTTGTCATGTACAGTATACGGCATATGTAATATAAAATTCCAAGTATTAATAAATATAATGAATGACAATAAAACAATAGAAATTAATATGAATTAGATTTTTTGTAAGTAATTTCTAGAAATTTTGGCTTAAGTCAATAAACTCGAAATAATTTCTGGGTTTATTTAAATATATTCTCTCCATGAATTATTTGAGATGAAAAAGCCAGAAATGTCAGGAAATTATAAACTCAATAATAAATCCAGACATAAATTAACATAACTAATATAAATAAATCATTTGTTAACAGATAGTAAAGAAAGAAGTAATATTAGCAATAGTTTAAGATAATATGACACAGAGAACTCACATATCTCTCTCCCTTGAAAGCATGTCATACATTTCACCAATTCATTGGCTCTACACTTTAAATATTTTTTTTACTCCTGTTAAACGAAAAATAATAATATATATCAGAATTAATAATAAAATTAATTTAAGCATTTTAAAATCAAATAAAAAAACTGTTCAACATATCTGATATTTTTACTTGAAAAGCTAAACATCCATGCCAAGCGTCCACCGCCAAATGGACAGTATGTGAAACGCCTGGAGGAAGTGAACTCAGTTTGCCACCGCCAAAGGGTCTGTTCATGACAAACTGACCTTTTCATAAGGCAATCCAAAAGGATCCCTTGATGACAAATCACTCACCGCCAAAGGGTCTGTTCATGAGTAATTTGAGTAAAGTTCACATTCCCAGTTTGTCACAGCCAAATGGTCTGTTCACAAACTGTCGATGGAAGTCTTTGATGACAATTCAGAAAATCAGCTCCGCCAAATGGAAATCGTGATTTCATAATCTTCAAAATAAAATATGTTGCGTGTATCAATAATATATATTAAAATTAATAATAAAATTAATTAAAATCAAATAAAAAACTGTTTAACATATCTGATATTTTTACTTGGAAAAGTCAAATGTCCATGCCAAGCGTCCACCGCCAAAAGGACAGTACGTGAAACGCCTGGAGGAAGTGAACTCGGTTTGCCACCGCCAAAGGATCTGTACATGACAACTTGGTCAAAAAAGACCCAGATTTGAGCCAATTATAATCTCGTGATCTCGTGATCTTCAAAATAAAATGTCGCGTGCAGGACAATTATTTATTTTTAATGTAATTTTATATAAATAACTAGATCAGGTGCATGGGTGACTTCGTCACCGTATTTTTATTGGTAAAGTACTTTTTTTAAAAAAATAAATATTATTTTCGATTGTTAAAAAAAAATTTTATTATTGGTAAAGACTTTTAAAAGAAAACAATATTAAATAAATATTAATAGATTTATTATTTATTATTACTAAAAAAAAAATTTTATTTTAGTAGCTTGTGTTATGATTGTTTTGGAATAGTGAATGGCAGTGGTTCCAATGCTTTTTTTTTTAATTTTTCATATTCTTTAATCATGATTTGATCTACAATGAATGCATCTTTAGATATTGATCATATTTTTATGTTTTTCCAATTGTTGCACCTGCTTAATGCTACGTATGCCTGTCCTTTTTTTCACATCTGGGAATCCAAGTTTAGCGATATATCTGTTAATGTTAATCCTTGAGTTTTGTGAATGGTGAGGGCGTACGTGACAATGATGGGAAATTGTTTTCTGCATGCGTGTTCACCATTTATATAAAATGATAAAATATGTTTTTTTAGTTATGATATTTACCACTTCACCTCTAATACAAAAGGTGCACCTTATTTCTTGATTTTCTTCATTTATATTGGTAATTATGCCTGTGGTTCCATTACATATCTTATGCTTATATTCTGAATTATTTAAAAACATGATTTTGGTATCAATTCGTATTTCTATTCTTTCAGGTAAATTTTTTTTTTGTTTAAATAATTTAGTTATGTATTCTTTATCCTTTATTTGTCCGTTTATATAATCTTTTACTTCAAATATTACATACTTGTTATTTTGATTAGATAACATATTACATATAACTCGGTTTATTTGATCAGCTATTTTTTTGTAGCCTATTATATGCATTGTGTTTTCTACATTCTTCAATGTTTCGTTGATTGTTTGGTTCAGTTTGTTTTGAAGCATTTTTCAAGTATAATCATCCATTTCTTCAAATCTCACCATTTCTAATAGTTTGTAATATTCGGATCTCAGATCTTGTCTCTGAAGTTCTTTTAGGAATAGAGGATAAAATACATTTCACATCTGTGATCTGTATACTAGTTACCTATTTATTGGAGGTAATTGCGCTAAGTCATCAAATATTAGCACATTTTTATTATCAAAAAGGACCAGATTACAATTTAGATTGGAAAAAATTTCCAAAATAAAAGTGAATAATTTCAAGAATACCATGGAAACTTCTTCTATTATTATTGTGTCGATATTTTTAAATTCTTGATTAAAATTTTGATCTCTATATGTCAATGTTTGATAAGATAATCTGACCGAATATATTCTTAATGCCAAGTGTATCATTTGACCATTTATATTTATCACTGCTACACCTGTTGGTGTCATTAATAAATAATTTTGTTTTCTTTTTTTTAGTTCTGTAATTACTAAGTTTATTATAAACATTTTTTCCATTCCCGCAGAACTAGTAATAAAAAAATATAAGTAATGCTGCCCGTCCCTTGGTCCTAAATAATTTTTGATTATCTGCATGCAAAAATATTGAGAAGTAGGTAGTTCTGTCATCAGATTTGTGGAAAACACTGGTTAATTGATTTGATTTATATATCGATTATTTTTTGAACATGATTTATTAATACTTCTTTTAATGAATAAAGTAGTTTGATAACAATTTTGTTTGGATGTGATGTTTAGTTTTTCAGGAAATTTTGTTATGAAATGATCTCTGTATGCATCAAAATTTTCTTTCAATTCTTCTTCTGATCAGCAGGGTAAAGATAAAAGAAGCTGTTGATAAAAGTATGTCTCCCTGTGTTCTACTGTTAGGTAACAGATTCTGATTAATATGGAAGAGATTTGTTTCACCATGTAATTTCTAAGGTTGTCAATATATATATCATTTCTTGTTGAATTGCTTCTAGTTTTTGATACATTATATTCTTTATAATAAGTTACATATGTCATATTATTAAAAATTTCATTGTTTGGTCTAGAAAAATATTTTTCTATTTGATCATCCCAGTAAAGATGATCATCTTCAATATTTATTAATGATAATGGTATTATTGCTTTTAATCAAAGTGAGGGTGGTTCAATTGTTAGGTACAAAACTTGAATTGAGAAATTACATATTTTTTTGTTCAGCAATAAAAACATTAGTTTCATGGAACTTAATCTTCAGGCTTGTACATATTTCTATAGCTGCCTCCTTTGGAAATATTAAAAAGGTAAAATGGTTCTAGTTTCAATATATATTTTATAATATATTTTGCTAAACCTCTGTTTGTTATATATTAAATATTCATATGAGCTTTCCAGATAAGTAAGGTCAGGAAATTTAATTAGGCATAAATTTATGGAAATATCACATGACCTATGGAAATTTACACCTAAAAAATTTAATTTTTTAACTTCAACTGAGATTTAAGTAACAGGGAGCGATTTTCTACTAAGATAATTCTAAGATAGATCGAAAGCCCTGGTTTTTGGCTACAAGATGATATATGTTTCATTGTTATAACATTGATATTCGCAGAGAAATTCACGTTTAAATTCAAACATTTGTGAAAATTTATGCTGTAATTTTTTTATAAATTTTCGTAATTCTGCTGGAAATTTTTGTGACGTTGTTACTAGTCGACCTTTTGAACTAATTTTATTTTCCAAAAGGCAATTTACAACTAGCAACTCGTAAACAGTTACTTTAGTTTACGAATTGAAGAGAATAATAAAAGAAGAATAAAAGAGATTTTTAAAGTTAAATACTAAAACTAATTAAAGAACTTAAGATTTAGGATTACGGGATTAAAACTATTAACTAATGATTTAATTTTTAAGGTCGAGTTAAGAAATTAAAACAAAGAATTAAATATATTTATCAATGGTTTATAAAATAGTAATAGATATTTATGGATCAGATTTTATATTCGGAGAATATAAATTAATAAAAAGAACAGAGTTTTAATATAAAAAATATAAGTTTATTACGAAGAAAATCAATAATCCAATTACTTTAGGATTATAAAAATTACAGTTGAGATTACTTTCTAAATTTTATTATTTAGAATTATTTGAATCTTATTTGAAAACTATCTGAATCTCCCTTGGGGTGGAGAGAAAACTCACCCTTTTTATAATATTGAATTTGACCAATAAGTTGGTCAGTAAGTTGGCCAAAATTAGGGTTGTTAATAGAACATAACGGGTTGGGTTGGGTTCATATTATAGTGGAGCAAGGATTAACCCAACCCAACCCAGGTTAAATATAGTTAAATGTACTGGGTTAATACTCCATGGGTTGCTCCGGGTTACTCCAGGTTACTCCGGGTTGCTCCATGAAGTAATAATTATAATTATACTAATAAATGTCATACTATCATTTTGCAGTATAATGTTATGCAATATTTTTAACATTTCTAACATTATACGATATAATATTTATTATTGATTTTTATAAAAATATTTATAAA